TGCCACAGTAAGAACAGAACATAACAAGCAGATGTTCATATGACACGTCTGCAGTTTGGCTTGGAAATATTTTTGTTTTGGTACAAATGGCCTAACTTAAATAGAAATTTGTCATCTTTTGCACAGATAGTTTGCATATGCATGATTGGAGTAAACTAAATATTTTTAATTAATTAATTAATTAATTAATTACTGCATGCATGCATGCATATATGTATGTATGTATGCATGTATGTATGTATGTATGTATGTATGTATGTATGTATGTATGCATGTATGCATGTATGCATGTATGCATGTATGTATGTATGTATGTATGTATGTATGTATGTATGTATGTATGTATGCATGCATGCATGCATGCATTTATTTTTAATGAGAAGATACATCAAATATATTTGCACTGGTTTATATCGGTAACAGAAAATAAGAGTTAGACAATATCAATGTATTGGTGAAAAAGCTGATATCGAACATCATTCCTGAATATTTTTAAATAAAAAAGAATGAAGTTTTCATACATGTACCATTATAAAAGCATTTTGTCTTTTTTAGGGGGGGGAATAATGTTCCTTCATCTCTGTACTCTACCCATACTCTCACTGGTTGATCTGCTTTCATTAAAAAAGGAGGAAAATTGATCTGACAGACGGAACAACAGAAGACGACTTACTTTCCCTAACCCTTAGTGGTTTAAATATGTTTCTCAGATGCCTGTAAACACAAGCAAATTGCAAAGGTATTAACATTTTGCTCACATTTTAAGGAAACAGCTTTGAAGGTACTCAACAGCATTTGATTAAGAACTTTGTAATAAAACAAACAGTCAGTAAAAATAATCCCTGCGAGCGCCCGATGGCTGCGTGTTTTGCTCCCACGCCCGTGGGTAAAAAGCTCCTCTGCAGCTGAATCCCTCTTTTGACTTCCAGCCAGCGGGATCTTGGCTCCATGTGTAATTCTCTTGCTCGCTTGCCCCACAATTTCTGCCCATCTTTTTCTGCAGCTTCTTTAAGCTAAGTGCTTAAAGGTTTAAAGCTAATATACAGAATAATGAGCAGTAATGTCAGGTGAAAGGGTATGCACACACTTGGATCATTATGGCTGCATTTTTGGCTGAGAATCAGGTCAGAGGGTAAGACTTTCTGCTGACGCTGGGTCGACAGATGATGCTGCGGTCTGTACTCCCCCAGCAACGGCATCATCTGTCACAATATTCCTCTGATATCATCACGTACTCATTCTGTTGCATTTTTCCATCCATATCATTATGTAATTACATCTTCTCAAGATCTCAAAGGGCATTCGTTTACAGAGGTGTTCCTAATGGGGGCCAGAGGGGGCAATGGACTCTGCAAAAATGAGATGGTCCCCTAGCTGCCCACTTGTTGGGATGGTCATTTTGTAATGCATACACATCCAAGAAAAGCTTGAATAAAGTGTCAAAAACAAACGCGTCAAACCCCGACGCCGAAAGTGTCCTTTTTCGTCACGTATGTAGGAAAAGGGGGTTTCTCCTTTCTGACGGCAGATCCTAATGCAGCGTAAAACTGACGCAATGGGATGTCCGCTGCTGCTGCACCGAACCAGCTCATTTAACCGCACCTAAACCTTAACGTTTTGCTATTTCTTAACTTCACCCTCATCCTAACCTTAACCCTCTTGCTACCTAAAATGTTACTCTGACAGTGACCAAGCGTTTGTTTCCATGCGTTCTGACTGTGAATTTTCGGATTTGCCGCCCAGGCTAGCGGAACGTTGGACCATACCATCTTGCGAGGGGGAGGTTACAAATACCCTCTACTTCTAACCTCCACCTTGGTAGTTGAAACCTCCCCCTCGCGTTGCCTCGGTCCAAACCCGACTAATTTTATGTGGGGAAGAAACGCTTGGTCACTGTAAGGGTAAAGTGTTAGCTAGTAAGATGGTTAAGGTTAGGATAGGGGTGAGGGGAAGGTTAAATAAGAGGGTATGGTTCGGGTGAGGTACAATGAGCTCGTTTGGTGCCTCGGCTGCGGACATCCCATCGTGTCAGTGTAATGCTGCATTGGGATCTGCAGTCAGAAAAGGGAAAACCTCTTTTCGTAGATAAGTAATGAAAAAGGGCACGTTAGGCGTCATGGTTGTGATGGCTGACCAAGCGTTTGTTTTTGACGCGCTGGGAGTGAGAATGTTTTTTAACGATGCTTTTGTCATTTATGGATCAAAATATGTTAAAAACAATGTTTTCTAAGTCAAATGGTGTTTCTTCAATAGCCTTAAATGTTTCTAAAACACTTTTACATGTGTGGAACACTGAAAACGTTTTCTAAAACTTTGTGGTTCTGATTATAACAGTTCACTCTGAGTGTTTCAAGCTGGCTGAACATGAAAATAGTCTCCTACACCTATCTCCTGCAGTAGCTTCTGGTAGAAAACAGACGGTGAAAGTCTAGGATTAGAAAATCTTGATAGATCTAAGTCACACTGTCACTAACATTCATGGACTCACCCATCTTTTCTCACGACGGGGAAGGCTGTTGTTGGTTTAGCGTCCAAGAAACGGCAGAAAACATCTCGGCTATCAGAAGCTAACATTAGCATTAGCAACTCCACCACGAAGCAGGACTCCTCCAGGATTGTGTTATTTATTTAGATGAAACATCAAAGTTGCAGAGCAAACGGAGTCAGTGGTAGTCGTGTTTTTATCAGCCAATCAGAGGAGAGGTGTCCAAATATCAGGAAATAAGAGTCCAAATCCTGTCGTCTGAAGCTACGTTGTCCTCCAGCTGATTTGTACTTCCTGAAACAGGTGCACGAATAAAAAGCTAAAGTAGCTGCTGCACCAACATTTAGCAGGAAGTTGTGTTCATACTAGACTGAAGACATTAATGTGTCGACATTATTAATCAAGTATTCAGCACTGACTCTATGTCCATTACAGTTATGAACCTTCTATCTGAAGCCTGATGGTGGTTAACGAGTCTTTGAAAGCCTTGCCACCTGCCCTCCATCCTCCCCATCTTCAGGCAATCAGTTTCAACGTTTTCTTCTCAGAGCATCAATAATCACGGAGAAAAATCCACTTCCGTGGGAAATCTTGGCATCTCCAAATGCTTGTCGTATGTGGAAAAAATCTGTCAATTATTTTGAAGCAGTGCAGCGGTCCAGGATTAAGGGACTTAGAAGTGCAACAGCCTCACCCTCCCTCCACTTTAGCCTCAGACTTCCACAAACAGCACGGCGTGTCAGCGCTGATTGCAGTTGCACTGGGGCAGATAAGTCAGTCTCACTATTATCCTATGTAAGCTAGGACTGCCAAATTACAACTTTAGCCTTAAACCCCCACAGAGTTTGCTTACGAGTGTCCTAAGCCACAGCAGAATAAGAAATCCTGCTAAAGAGAGATGACTGAGCTTTGGGAGAATGGAAGCAAATCTGTTGGGATGTGTTTATGCATCTCAACCCGAGTTTTGGGTCTCTCTCGTCTTTTTATTTGCTGTCAGCACCCTATGATGCTCCAAAGACTTTACAAAAAAATGAAATAATTTCTACTCTGCCATCAGTTTGCACGCCGATGCCATGTTTCTGGCATAGGAAGGCATTAGCATGCATAGATTTGTTTGTCCTTTTGAGGACATTTGGACATTTTCAGAGGGTATAATCTATCTGCACATCCATGACCAACGATTTGTAAGGACTGCCAGACAGTTTGTCCAGTTTATCCAGTTGCCAGCCCATTCCAAAGAGACACTACATTCATGCATGAGGCCAGTTTGCCAGGTAACACAATGCTGATGTTTGAGAAGTACTAGAGCAGGGATTCCCTAAGTAAGCTGCCGCTAGGGGGTGCGCGAGGTGAACAGTGTAATGGCTGCGGAGCTCAGAGAAGTCTGTCATATGTCACCATTAGCGTAGCCAGAAACTCATTTGTGGGTGAGCCTAAGAAAAAGTAAGTGGGCCGAATAAATGTAAATGAAAACAAGTATATTTTGCGTGTGTGTGTGTGTGTGTGTGTGTCCTCCGCATTTGCCCTAGCTTCAGAATAATAATGCGCTGAGCTTCAGCGCTCTGGCCTGCGCACGCTGTCAACAGCAAGATGTGTTCCGTATTTGATCATTTTTAACGGTGTTGGAGAAATCTGAAGGTGGTGAGTCAATCTGGCAGATTGTAATAAACACCCTGTCTCATGCAGGTGTTCTGACGTTGTAAACCTCACACACAGAACATTGTGGATGTAACAAAATAAATCAAGAAATGATTCCCATCTGAGCATTTTAGCATGCTGGCAGGACATGCCCGAAACACCTCCCCAGGGAGGCGTCCAGGAGGCATCCTGACCAGATGCCCAAACCACCTCAACTGGCTCCTTTCGATCCGGAGGAGCAGCGGTTCTACTCCGAGTCCCTCCCGAATGTCCGAGCTCCTCACCCTATCTCTAAGGCTGAGCCCGGCCACCCTACGGAGGAAACTCATTCCGGCCGCTTGTATCCGCGATCTCGTTCTTTCGGTCATTACCCAAAGCTCATGACCATAGGTGAGGATTGGGACGTAGATCGACCGGTAAATCGAGAGCCTGGCTTTGTGGCTCAGCTCCCTCTTCACCATGACAGATCGGGTCAGCGTCTGCAGTGATGCAGAGCCATGCCCTGATGTGGGGCTGGGGGGTGCGTCGACATGGTCGGGACATAGAAGGGGGTGCGCCGCTAAATAAGTCTGGGAACCGCTGTACTAGAGAAAACTGGCTGGAATGTACATCTGACAAAGAAGTACACGTAACTGTAAACCAAGGACCTTTTTTACAGCACACCCCTAAGCTGTGTGTAAAACTGCACATAAACAGCTTGTTTTATAGTTTATTGAATTCAGCTTCATTGCAAGTTTTTACATGTTCCTGCTGTAAACATTTATCTTTCCCTTTTTCTATTAGTGGTGATTCTGCCTCCTTCAGATTCATCCCAAGCTACTTGTTATGTGACTTATCACCTCTCTCACATTATAAATGGCTAAAAAAGTGTGTTTACCTTGCCCACGTACTGCGGGTCTGACCCCATGTATTCCTCCAGCACAAAGAACTGGTTCCACACCCATCCCCTCTTGACCCGCTGGAATCGAGCCGCCCCATTCCTCACCGGGCCCACCGAGCTCCTGGCGTGCTCCCTCCCCGCTCTGCTCCGTCCCAGCGATGATGAAGGTGCACGCGAAGAAAAAACCAAATCCTCGTTTACAAGAATCCACAGGAACAGCAGCAGGCAGTTCCTTGTAAGCATTGGCGATTTGTGAGGTTTCCAAGTTGAGGTTGTTGATGAGCTGTCTCGGCTGCAGTGAAATGACCACAAGAGGGGTGTTCTGGGAGGAGGCGTGGCGTGGAGCCGTGTTGGGGTGTGGCAAACCCAGAAGCAGGTTCCCGGTTCTACATCACCTGAAAAATAAAACAAACACATTTATGTAGTGAATAACTAATGTAGCAGTCCAGGGTGGTCTCACATCGCACTAGGGCTTGTTTGTTAGCCTGTCTTTAATACTAATCATTAATAGCTCTCCTCTTTGTAAACACTAACATCTTGCTGGCACTTTCTAGCCCATGTTCTCTTCCCCTCCTGCATACCTGTGTTCGTTTTTTAACTGCCCGGTGATAAATTATAGTGCTTGCACTCTCAAGCATAAAGTAAGCACTGTAATTATTCGCCTCATGATGGATTACTTCTACATAGGGTAGTTCTCATAGATTCATGCTCTAATTAGCCAGAATACTTGTCCCTGCAGTGAAAGCTGTGACTTTATTTTTGCTGTCAATTACAGGCCACCCCACACGGCGCCGCTGAGCAGTCAGCGCCGCTGCAGTTCTTTACCTGGAAAAGGTTGAAAGTCAGTATTTTTTAATGACACGTTAATGAGCGGCCTCGGTCGAATGTCAGGATTTACTTTGCGAGGCTTGTCCCGGGATAGTTGATCAAACCAACCAGAAAGCTGCTGACAAATAATGAGATGAAGTTTTTCAGTGGGGGAGAAAATATTCAGAAGAGGGAAGTGATAGGATTTTCTGTATTTTATGTACCTTTTTGAGAAGAACGTTGCAGGACATGATAGGTATTTGTTTAAACGAAAGGTCATCGATCTTTGATCACATTTTAGAGTGGTGAAGAATGGTCTCTGTGATCATCCAACTTCCTGAGACAAGATGAAGGTCCAACAGTATGTGTTGATTAAGCTACCCCGGTCAGCTGATTCAGAAGAATGTTGATTAAAGAGCAAGTCACCCCCTACAAGAAACTTACTTCACTCCCACTTCATGTTTGAAAAATGCAACAAATGCTGTTGCTTGGCAGACCGAGAGGGCGGAGCCGCTAACAAATACACACACACAGAGGCTCACAGTGGCATTATGACATCATAATGTACCAGATGACATCATACCATACTTCTTAGCCAATAGCGGTGGCAGATTTAAATTCAAATACAGTGCAGAATTTTTCCCTGACAACGGCGCAACACTGACAATTTTAGGCAGAATATTTGAATTTTAACCAAGATGCACTGAAGTGCCAAATTATTGACTACACGTGTCTGTAGCACGACTAGATGCTCCTTTATATAGTTTATCAGCAAAAAAAAGTGATTTGGGGGTAACTTGCTCTTTAAGTTACCGGTCAGCTGAAGAGTTGTGTGTGTATTTTGACTGTGTGTAATTCCTCTGTAAATGATTCATCTGTAAGCCTGCTGTGCTGTTATCTCTGGAATATGGTTTCCTAGGAGATGAATCTGTAACTCTGAAACTCGAGAAAGGCCCGCCCTCCATCCCCTTGTTCAATAAAAACCTCTGTTGAGCTGAGAAGGGTGGGGGAGATGATGGAAACAGCTCCGGAGGGAGTTGTGCATCACCTTCTCCGCTGTTTGGTGAGACAGTGTAAAATGAACTCCTTCTACTCTTTGTATTTGGTGTGTTTATTTCAGGTAAAGGGTTAAGGAAAATACAAATGCTGTAGTAATGCATGCGTGAGCCAGATGGGCGTGTGTTGTGAGAAATGTCGGCATGAAAGAACATGACTGTCGTCATTTTTTAGACACGTTCTGAGATGTTTCCGAAAACTGAACCAACTCTTCAACAGAACTGTTGACAAATAATGAATCTGCAACTTATGTTGTCATAAAGCTGAACCAATGACATGTAGTCTAACTAATCACAGCGCATCTAAAAAGCTACCATGATTGGTAGATTGGAAAATATTGTAAACAATGTACAAAGTATGTTACCGGCTAATACTCAGAAAATCTTTTTAAAGAGTGAGTGGTTACATGTTTAAAGGCAATGATGTTTTTAAATTACCTAGATTTAGGACCTCAGTTGAAGACCGTAGTATATCCTTATATGGTGTAAGAATATGGAATAACCTTAGCAGGGAAATAAAAGAATCACAATCACATATATTTAGAAACGGACTAAAGAAAGTGTACAGCTGAACTAAACTAAGATCTATGAATAAATCTAGAAAATTATTAGAAAGTGTTTAGGTAAAAAAATGTGTGTAAACAATAAAAATTCAGAGTTTATTCATTTATTTCTTAAAGGGACTTTACGGAGTTTTGAATTTTTATGCTCGCTATCGCCCCCTCAGGCCAAAAGCATAACGGCAGCTTCAATAGTAGGCTCGTGCACGAGGCTCACATGCTGTACGTGCACACTCCTTAATGAAAATAACAGCTAAGACAGTCCCTTGTGTGTGTGTGTGTGTGTGTGTGTGTGTGTGTGTGTGTGTGTGTGTGTGTGTGTGTGTGTGTGTGTGTGTGTGTGTGTGTGTGTGTGTGTGTGTGTGTGTGTGTGGACCGGAGGACAGAGGACAGAAGAACGCGCAGCTAATTAATTAAATAATTTGGTTCTGTAGCTTTCTCTTCAGCACAGCCGACAAAGGTTTATGATGGGTCAGTCCTCCTGCATGCTCAGATCATTCCCTTCCCTTGCTTGAAAAATTGTTCCAAAATGAAAGTTGAACCCACATCTTTTTTATCTGTGAATTCAATGCCGTTCGGCGGGTCTCAAATAAAATTTGGGCATCTTTCTGTAAAAAAATATACCATTAATGTAAAAAAGAAACTCTAAATAAACTATGTTCACATCCAGAATCAAACCCAGGTCTTCTGCATGAGAGCCCGACATTTTACTAGGTAAGCTAAAGCGCCAGTGACGTCTTTTCTATCTATAACATTTATATCCTTGATGACAGCTGAAACAATGTTCAAAGAACGGTTCGGAGCAAAAATGGCTATTTAAAATGTATGAAGAGGAAATGAATTATTTCTATACATGTTTTGGCTGTCAAACTTCCATAATGTCCCTTTAAAGTTGGCAGAAATTACGAGATATTTTCTTCAGTTACTTTTCATTAAAAACTGTATGGTGTTATGTAAACATATACTCTTGTTGTTTTTTAATGAAATTAGTATTTTTAGTGCTTTGTTTTTTTAATGAAATATAAAAGTGTTTAAGTAAATCAGTATTCAAATATGCATAAAATTAAATGAAAGACAGTTATTTTCAAAATTTTCTGAAAAAGTAAAAACGTCTTTTTCGTTGAATAAACTGTTTCCACAATTCAGTTTTTCCATAATTTTCTTTGAAAGAACATCCATTAGTCACCGATAGATATGAAAAGGGACCAATGGAACAAATCTAGATGAAAAAAAACCCTGATGAAAAAAGGTGTGTGTGTGTGTGTGTGTGTGTGTGTGTGTGTGTGTGTGTGTGTGTGTGTGTGTGTGTGTGTGTGTGTGTGTGTGTGTGTGTGTGCAAACACCCTACATGAGATGTGTACTGTAAATGTCACATGACTAAACAATTACCCCCCCACCCCCCCACCCCCACGTGCTGAAACAAAAACAAAATATTGGTTAATATCGGCCCAGTTTTTATTGGACCGATACTGAAACGTAAAAGAATAACGCTCGATGCCGATGTTGATGCGGATATGTCGTGTATCCCTACTTTAACCTGATACCTGAACAGGCCAATCATTTCGACTCTGAATTTCATGTTATATATATTTCATGGTCTCACTAATGGAATCGGGGTCGATGGTCATGTATGACCTGCATAACAGACAAATCCTTTTTGTCCCTGCAGTCAGTACACCCTCACTGTTGAGTTGTTTACAGTGCCTTACGCATTTCCTCTTGAGTCAAAGGACCTCACATTCTTTAAATGTTTAGTCAGAGCTGTTGAATGTGTTGGAGAAGATTTTAAAACCTTCAGAATTTTGTTTCGGCACTTCAGAAAAATGGAGGGATTCTCCAGGACAGTTTAAAAGCCAAATAACTAATAAAAACTGAGAGCAATAAAAAAAAAAAAAACTTTGAGACTACATTGTGATAAGAGTGTTGCATTTTGTTTACATCATAAGCCTCACTCACAAGGGTTGATGTGGTACATGCAATACTTCTGTAACAACTAGCCACCAACGGCCACTGCCCAGTGAGATGCTGGCATTAGGCCACCTCCCTACTGGATTAGGTACATCATTTATTATATATATAGGCTAAATGAATGTTTTCCAGAAATTCCACATTCCAAAAACAATCAGTGAGATAAGACATTCCTGAATCAGCACTTATTTGTATTGAATTAGCTTTAGGAAAGTGCTAGAATATTACATTTTTGCTACATTAATTGCTGTTTTATTTCTCTTGGTGTTCGCCAAATATAATTTTATAATGATCAATGCCTTTTACTTGTGTAGCGCCTTTCTGTGTGCACAAAAGGACTCCAAAGTGCTTTCCTCTAGGCAGTTGCACCCCTCCCTGGGCCCCATTCGGCATCACTCTTTTAAATCATGTCCGAATGCGTCTAGGAGCAGGACATCACTCCATCTTAGCACAAAACTGAAAAGATGACAGTGTTGTGGCATGGACCTGAGGCCAGAGTTCTGTTTTTCTTTAAGTGATCAAAGACCAAGCCTTGCTTGGTAAATAAGATGCCATCATGTGTCACCTAGCCATGGTTATGATGAGAAACTGCCATGACCTTTATATGAAAGTTTGGTTATTGCTGAACGTCATCATAGAACTATTGTGTTTGATAAGAGCGCATATGTTAGGTAAAACACAAAGACCTTTTTATGTTCTCGACCTTTTTCTTTCTCTGGTTTGTTTCAAAGTCTTAGGGTCATTGGATGGCAGCAGGTTTATATTCTAACACCCATCAATAGATGTAAAACAAGGTGTTTATGCTCTCTGTGTTAAAGCTGTTCTTTCTCCTCAATGCCAAACTACACAACATGAGTATTTCAAGTAGACAGACCATTTGGTTAAAGAAAACAAACATGGAGCCATTTGTTAGACCTTCATTGATTATTGAGCCAACAAGTCTTGTTGTTCACACTTTGTTTACAATGTTGACTACTTCGTCAGCACCGGAGCATTCGAGTCTAG